ACATTGCTGGTGATCACGACTTCGAAATATTTAAGTCATTTAAAAATTAAAATATGGAAAGTTATTGTTCGTTTAAAGCCCTTGCTGGCGGAAATTGCAGCATCGATCGAAAACATCCTAAAGACGAAACGCAAATTATTCCTCTACTAGCTTGTTGTAAAGATATTTCCAGCCATAAAGCAAGTTTAAAGTTCACGGGACCACAAACAGAAGTTGAGTTGATTTTGTGCCGAGTATCTATGTTTAGAATTCCTTCCAATGCAACTTCAATGACGATATGTCCAAACCACCGTTCCATCCTCGGTGTAGGATGGAGCCGAGGGGCAAGCAGCAGGTGTAGAATTCCTCAAACGATCTCTGGCCATGGAAAAAGCGGAAAACGTGTGCCAAAAGCTGACCGGGGTCTAAGCAGTGAATCGTCTAGGTTTATCCTAAAAGAGACTGGCATGTTYATTCAAGTTGGTTCAGGTAAAAAAGTGATGTAAAARAATGTACAATAGGGAAAAGGGGGATACATATATATGTATACATATCGCTAAATTGTCGACGTTTTTTTAATAGTGGTTGCCACGCCCTGATCTTCGTGTGAYCCTCCAGTCAATATATACCTGAGCCCCCACCAGTTCTGTAAAAATTGCGACCAACACTAAATCTCCACCCCCCTCCCTCCACACAAACACACACTCATAGGATGAATAATGACCTGTCCCTTAGTATACAACAATCATGCACCTTTTTTATTACGTTATGCATTGATATTAAACARCAATTATGCTAACATTTCTTATTACCAGGAGTCTGTATAAACTGCCGGAAAAAAATGAAAGAAAAAGTGGAAGATGATAGTACTTCAAGTCTTACGCAGGAGTTTGCTGAAGTAACTTTGGTGAGTCAGGATGGCAATGCCCTATATATATATAATATAGATAATAAATAATGAATGAGGAGATGAAAGGAAGGAAGGAAGGAAGGAAGGAATGAATGAAGGAATGAAGGAAGGAAGAAGGGAAGGAGGGAGGGAAGGAGGGAAGGAAGGAAGAAAGAGCGATTGAGAGAAACTAAAAAACATTATGGAGGGATGGATTCATGGATGGGTGGATGGATGAAGTGTTAGGATTTAGGAACAGGAAGGACGGCGACGGACGGACGAATGTACGAATCGACAGAAGATCTGACGGGCTGACAAAGACAAAGAATAATAATAGAATGTAATGAAACATAATTGAAAATGAAAAGAAAAGAGAAGAAAYGCTTATCGTTAACCTTTGTATGTGTAGGACGAAGAAGAAGAGGTATTTTTCAATATTAAGCACTCAACTCCTGTTGCTGTATCACCTGGTTTCTCGGCTTACGACGACACATCTTTCAGTACCTACCAGCCTTCAGAAACCTCAAAACTCTCGGCATATGGCAACCACAAGTCATCAAGAGATCTCCTCAATACGTACCTTGCATCAAGAGACATTAGTCCTATCAGAAATTCATTGACAAAGCCTTGGGATGAAGCCTCGACTCGAACAAAACGCAGTTATGAAAGGAAAGCAAAGCAAGTTGTAAGTGCGTGTTTGGAAGAGATTGCGCCAAATGATACTGAAAWGCTTTTTGCTTCCGTGTTCCATGTATCTCAAACCGACAGCAACTTTGACTCTGCTCTGATGAATGCTCTAACAGAATGTTACAACAGCGCCTCTCACTGGAGTACTCGACGGCAGATCCTATCAATAATAGCGGATACGGTCACTTTCAAGCAGTTAAAGAGATGGCTACCTGACGTAACAATATATCGGTTCAACATAGCCAGACACCATCGTCTTCTCCACGGCAGAGGTGCACTTGTTCCTARTGATAGGAGAACGAGGATATGCATTTCATCAGATAAACTAGATCATTTTTTATCCTTTATAACGAGCACCCACGTAGTCCAGGACCTGCCCTTTGGAGAAAGGAAACTTACATTGTCTACAAATGTCGATATCAAAGTGCCAAATGTCATTCTGATGCTTATCCCCGAGCAAATAGTGAAGCAATACCAGAGTTACTGCAAGGAATCGGACTTTGAACCAATGAGTCGCAGCACACTGTGTAGGGTGTTAAACGTTTGCGCCGCAACTGTGAGAAAGTCACTTCAAGGCCTAGACTATGTGTCTGCGGAAGGAGCCAAGGCATTTGACGATTTAGAAGAAGTGGTGGAAAAGCTTGGCGATGAGTACAAAGGTCTTTCCTGGGTAAAGGACATTACCGAGAAACTTAAAAGTGCCAAGCGATACTTAAAGAGTGACTACAAGGTATGCACTCATAGCTGGACATTTTCACGCGATACCCCATGATCATAGTATTATAACTTCTAATAAATGATGTTCTTTTTTAGGTGCACGTGTCACCGAGTTCGCAGGTTCCCGACCACTGCAGGGCCTACGCACTGAGTTTTCCGGATGACGATTGCTTCATTTCTTCATGTAACCACCAACATAACTTGAGATGTGACAGATGTGATGCACTTACTGCGATTTTGCACRAAATACATACCACCCTGGAGAGTTTCGATAGCTGTGAAACGGAAGAGCTCACCTATATTTTCAAACAAGCTTCAAAAAACATTCTGGCATGGAAGGCGCATCTTCTTCGTTCTGTGAATCAAGATCAATCAAGACTTGACATCTTGAAAAACCTGAATGCACAGTCTTCCCTTCTCATTCTTGATTGGGCAATGAAATTTCTGCCACGAAAATATAGAGAGAGTCAGAGCGATTGGTACGGTAAGCGAGGAATATCGTGGCACATAACCGTGGCCATCAGGAGAGACAAAGACGGCGAGATGCAGATGCTAACATTTGTGCATCCTTTTGAAAGCTGCAGCCAAGAAAGCAGCAGTGTTTTGGCAATAGTTGATGATGTATTTCAGCAG